CGCCCTCGGGCTGCGATAGCAGGCGCCGCACAGAGCCACCTCCACCCTCGGAAGCGCCGGCAGCCTCGGCCCGGCGCGGAGGCTTCCGCGGCGATTCCCGACTCCGAGGCCCGCCGGTCTGCGCGCAGGGACACAAGCCCGCGCCCTGCGCCCCACTGAGGCTCCCGGGCATCTGCTTCCGCTTCCGCGTGCCCACGCGGGCGTCGGGGTCGCGGGCACCCGCGGCACCCGGACCTGAGCCCCGCTGTGTGCCAACATGGAGCCGGGCGCCGCAGGCTGCCCAGACAGCAGAGTTCTCCCCGCCCCTTGCCCACTTGCGTTCGGGATGACGGATGAGGCCGCCCGGCGGGGCGCTTCTCGGCGACTCCCCGGCCGGCAGCCCGGCCTCTGGCGCTGGCGTTCTGCCGCGTGGCTGAGGCGTCTGCGGGGGGAAGAGGCCGAGGCGCTTCCCGGCCGCATCCACAGGAGCCGCGAGAGGTCCCGCCTGCAGTGGTGTCTCTAGCACTTCGTGGAAGGCGGAGGGGCGGCCCCGCTGGCGCCAGTATCCGGCGACTGTGCCCCCGCGGGCGTCCCCAGGCCCCGCAGCTGCCCTGGGGGCCGTGCGGGCCGGGTGGGGCAGACGGCGTGTTCCACGAGGCCGCGCCCAAGGCCTGGACCGTCTGTGCCTGGCGACGGGATCCGGGGGCTTGGGGGGAGAGCAGGGCCTGGGAGCCCCGGCGCCGGCCCCGGGAGCGGGAGGGGCCGGCCCTGCACAGCCTCTGCTGGCCAGGGTGGCGGTTTCCACGCGGCGGCCACGACCCCCGCCCTGCGCTGGCGGTCAGCGGCCGGCGGGGACAGTCCGCCTCTCCAGGGCCCCCTCCTGCGTCCCGTCATCGCCACGCAGTAGCAGAGCTTAGGGGCGCGGGAACGCCTGGGTCAGGCCCTTCGCCTGTGGCCAGCGGGTCTGGAAAGCAAAGACCGTTGCGACACCCAGAAGCTGGCTGGAGCCGCTGGCCGGCAGCGCGGACGCAGGCAGACCCCACGCCCCTCACGGCCGCGGGGGAGGCGCGTGGCCGGCCAGCGTGGCCTGAGGCCCGGTAGCTACCGGCTCTTCTCGACTTCAGATTCCTTCAGCGGCCCCAGCACTCACTTCGAGCGCGTCGTGAAGGCCCTTCTGATCAACGCCTTGGACAGCTCCTTTCTGGGCACGCTGTACAGTGAGTCCAGCCCGAGCGGCCGGCGCGCCGTTCGCGGGTTGCCGGTGCTTAAGCCGCGTCGCCCCTGTGTGCCCGC